TCACTGCAGTTTGTAATGCATCTCATTAAATACATTAATAACATGCATTTCACTAAGAGGTCAACTTATTATGGCTGAAATTTGGCTTTCCTTTAATCACTTCATTTAAAGCTATAGAGCAAACTCTGAAAAAGATAGTAGAGAGTGCCTGTTACAGAAATGCTCTCAATTCTCCCATCCATTAAAATCAGTTACGCTTATTAAGAAATCACCGTTAATGTTTTTACATGAATAACAATATTGTGATTTTTTTTTCTTTTTTAAAGATTTATTTATTTGAGAGAAAGAGAGAGTATACACGCACACATAAGCAGGGGTAGGGGTAGGGGGAGAGGATCCCAAGTACACTCACTGCTGAGCAGGGAGCCTGAGACCCTGAGATCATGACCTGAACTGAAATCAAGAATCAGATACTTAACTGACTGAGCCATCCAGGTGCCCCAGTATTGTGATTTTTTAAGAAACCCTTTTAGAGATACATGCTGATTTACTGATAAAATGACAGAATGTCTACTCCAAACTCCTAGCTCCAAACTAATCCAGAAATAGAGGGAGAGCTAGTATAAATACAGATGAAATAAGATTGGCCAGGAATTGATGACTGCTTAGCTGGTAAAGGTATGTGGGTTCAAATTCTCCATGCTTTTATATAAGTTTGATATACTCAGGTTTCCTTAAGTAACTTGCCTTCTTCCTTACACATTGCTGCCTCCTAAATCTGTAGAACTTTTTAAAAAGAAAATCAGAGAGGAAAAGGTAACCTCTTTAGAGAAATGCTTTTGGCACAGAAAAATCCCTTAATTTTGCTAAGGTTACTTTATGACTTACCAATTATGCAACTACTAAAATATCAAAAAATGTCTGAAATTACTTAACACTTCAAGAGTTATAATTACCAACACGTAACACCAAGGTGACTGGGGACTTAAGTGCACGCGTGTTGGGGAAGGAAGGAGATACTTATGTAGTTTCTGAAAAACAGAGTTTAGGGTGCTGATGTTAGAATGGCATGCTGCTCATCAGTTTACTGTGGTTAAAATCTGCTGCTTTAGAGGCTATTTTAGGACTATGAGAGTAAACAGCAGTGACAAGAGAGAACATATCAAGAAAACACAACCTGAGAACAGGATCCCACACACAATGAAACTGAAGTTGAAAGGGTAAAAGGTGTCCAAAACCAGAAGAAATCAGAAAGGCAGGAGAACCCAAATAGCTTTCATAGTGTCACCAAAGCCAAAGGCAATATTTCAAGGAAAAAGGTTGAATGCTTCAAGGAGGTAGCAGCTGGCTTTGGTGGCAAGGAAATCTCTGGTCATCTTTTCATAGTTACAAAACAAAAGCTGAATTATAAGCATTAAAGAAAAAAGTAACACTACACTTTCCAGAATGAATGCTTAATTTAAGTTATACAGGAAATCTGAATACTAATAAAAGTCAAAAAATACTGAAGACCGTGGGGATGATGGTCATTACACTGATGGCCATCATTCACATGGCTGATTATTACCAAATGCCTCTTTCAGCAGAAAAATACCCACACCTAACATCTGTGGGGCACTGTGTGCCAGCCACTGTGCCAATGCTTTATACTGACCATGTCCTTCAATCCTCACAACCATACTATCGCCCTCTTGCTGTGAAGTTAAGTAACCTGCCCAAGGTCACAGAGGTAAATCCACTGCTGAGATGGAATCTAAAGCCAGGCAATTTAACTTTAACTCCTTTAAGACCCAGCGAACTGACAAGAGATTTAATTAAAGACAGTAAGTTCCAGTACCTGTTCTGGGGTCAGTATAAATTCAGCCTAGGTTCCATACCAGCCATAGAGCACAGTATTAATGGTGCATCCAGAGTAATGCAGCCCAGTTTTTCTTAAACTATTTACCAACACAGGGAGGTATACAACATATTATGTCATATTGTCATAAGAAGATTGAAAACAAACAAAAAGTAGCCACCCTGGGGTGCCTGACTGGTTCAGTTGGTAGAGCATGCAACTCTTGATCTTGGGGTTATGAGTTCTGAGCCCCTTGTTCGGTACAGAGATGACTTAAAAATAAAACCTCAGGGGCACCTGGATGGCACAGCTGGTCGAGTGTCCGACTCTTGGTTTCCACTCAGGTCATGATCTCGGGGTCGTGAGACTGGGCTCTGTGCTCAGCGCAGAGTCTGCTTGGGACCCTCTCTCCCTCTCCCTCTGCCCCTCCACCCCATGCTTTCTCTCTCAAATAAATGAATCTTTAAAAAGAAATCTGAAAAGGGGCGCCTGGGTGGCTCAGTTGGTTAAGCGGCTGCCTTCGGCTCAGGACATGATCCCAGGGTCCTGGGATCGAGCCCCGCATCGGGCTCTCTGCTCAGCGGGAAGCCTGCTTCTCCCTCTCCCACTCCCCCTGCTCATGTTCCCTCTCCCGCTGTATTTCTCTCTGTCAAATAAATAAATAAATAAATAAAATCTTAAAAAAAAAAACATTAGCCACCCTTCAGATGTGCAGAAATCCTACTTAGAATACTCTCCACTCTCCCATCTTAGAATATGTGACACTAAACAAACATGCCTTTCTTCTCCCTCCTCCACTGCAACCCACCCTGTCAGATTGTAACAGACATCTGTCACATTAACTGGAATTTACCCATGAGACAAAGAGGAAATTGGTTAAGTACAAAAAAGATTAAGAAGATCAGAACACTTGCAAATAATATTAAAGTAGCTAAAGAAACTAGTACCCAAGAATAAGAATGTGTCAACCTGACATGGACTAACCCTTAAAATAGCAGTATTTTAAGATGAATCCAAAAAAGGGGCGCCTGGGTGGCTCAGTCGTTAGGCGTCTGCCTTCGGCTCAGGTCATGATCTCAGGGTCCTGGGATCGAGCCCCGCATCGGACTCCCTGCTCAGCGGGGAGCCTGCTTCTCCCTCTCCCTCTCTCCCTGCTTGTGTTCCCTCTCTCGCATTGTCTCTCTCTGTCAAATAAATAAATAAAATCTTAAAAAAAAAAGAAGGAAAGGATCAAGCAAGAAGAGTAATAAATAACAAAATGGGAAAGGTCTCATGAAACACTTCAGACATTTAACCTAGAGCAGTCTAGGTCTCTCCAAAGCATACCAAGAATTAGGGTACCAGGGCATTAAAAACAGCAGAGAAATGGGGCGCCTGGCCTGCTCAGTCGGTAGGGCATGCAACTCTTGATCTTGGCTTCGTGAGTTCAAGCCCCATGTTGGGCAAAGAATTTACTTAAAAAGAAAAAGAAAATAGCAGGTAAGTGCTCCAAAAATCTCAAAGATTTTGAAAACTGCCAACCATCATTTATTTAAGGGAAGAAGGGGGGAAATCTAATAGAGGGGATATAAAAGTTCTACCCTCACAATATCTGCAGGGTTCCTGACTTCAAGTATGGCAGGACATAAAATCTACAGGCTGGACCCTAAGAAGCAATTCCTAATTAAAGCAGGTATTCTGGTGCCCCTGGCTGGCTGAGTCGGTAGAGCATGCGACTCTTGATTTCTGGGTTGTGAGTTCAAGCGCCATGTGCGGCATAGAGTTCATGTAAAAAAAAAAAAAAAAAAAAAAAAGCAGGTATTTTCCCACAAGAAAGGTTTGCAGAATCCCCCACCCTAGAAATCCTACATATTTATTTTGAAGTTTGAGGTGATTCTACCTGGAGGCAGATGTCCTCCTCAGGGCCCTTCTAATTCTAACTCCACAACACTATAAAAACAAGTTTTGGGGCGCCTGGGTGGCTCAGTCGGTTAAGCGTCTGCCTTCAGTTTGGATCATGCATGATCCCAGAGTCCTGGGATGGAGCCCCACGTCGGGCTCCCTGCTCAGCAGAGTCTGCTTCTCCCTCTACCTCTGCCCCTCCTACCCCCGCTTGTGCACTCTCTCTCTTTCTCTTAAATAAATAAATCTTAAAAAAAAAACACAAAAAACAAGTTTTAAAGAGCAAATGAAAACACTTAGGTCTCAGCATGCAAATAGGAATAGCAATTCCAACCACAGTGCACTAAGCCTAAATCTCCCTCTGCACCCATCCTTTGGTGCCCTTGGGCACATAGCACACAGCCCACAGGGCGTAAGGCGGTGCAGAAGGAAGACTTCTCAACAGTAAGGCAGGAAAGCCGGAGTTTGGTCTGCTGTGCATGAGCAAGCTCTATAACTTTGGGCAACTCATTCTCTCTGGGCCCTGGTTTTCTCATCTGTAAAATGAGGGGACTGCAAACCAAATAATTTCTAAATCCCTCTTCTACAATTCTTGGGCTTTAGAGCTCAGCAATTCTCTCCCAAAACTTTCCTCACTCTGCAGTCATCACCTTTCCTCACTCTATGCAACCCAAAGAGAGATATAAATAAGATTGCCTTAGCATGTTTTCTAGAAACCTCCCAACAAAGAAAAGCATCTTGTAAGCATGATACTACCAAAATGAACAGGGATCAGCCATTCATTGTCTCTCTTCTGTTCTATACCAGCGGGTTTGCAAATAGAATCCTCTGAGCATTAAAGAAGTAACTCAGAAAGCCAAGGGAAGGAGGAGGATGAAAGTGAAGGCAGGTAAGAGAAAAGTGGAACAGGGGCACCTGGGTGGCTCAGTCAGTTGAGCGTCTGACTCTTGATTTCAGCTCAGGTCATGATCTTGGGGTCCTGGGATCAAGCCCATGATGGGCTCCATGTGCAGCAGGGAGTCTGCTTGTCCCTCTCCCTCTGCTCCTCCCCCCCCTTCCTCTCTCTCTCAAATAAATACATAAATAGAATCTTCAAAAAAAAAAAAGAAAGAAAAGTGGAATAGACATGACACAAGTACCCAATCCATTTCAATCAAAGTTGTCCTCATTTGATAAGAGTTATATTGTTTTTTTAAAAAAAGGTAAATACCATTCTGTACCATATTATCACTAAAATCAAATCTTCCCTTCCTCAACTCGGTGATGCTACAAATACAATCCCAGTGTATCCCAATGTACCCCAGTGGTTCTAAGTATCCCCAGATGGTATAAGTATTCTTACTATTTTTTAGGGCGCTGGCAAATTCTGGGCCACCTTTGTTCTTGAAAATAGGGAAAACATCTGGTTGAGGAAGTTGATTGGTGGTCAACAGAGCTTTTTGTAGCTTGATCCTTCCTTCCAAGAGCTGGTCCCACAGTGCTAAGAAAGAAAAAAGAATTTCATTCCTCAGTTACAAAATCTTCCTGGTTGGGGGTGGGGGGGATAGGAAATCACAGCAGTCTCTACGAAGCACGGCTTTATCACAGCTTCTTGCCATGAAAATACTTGCCATTATAAGAAATAAATTCAGTATCGTGGAAGCAAATATTTGCTATACGAGAGAGGGAATGCTAAAGTCCAAAGAAAAAACTGTTTTCTCTTTAATATCCCATAGCTGTGAAAGGACTAGAACAGAACCAGCTAAGCAGCTCAGTGTAGAAATGACTGGCTAAGCAGAGAAGAATGGGGCTTTAAGCCTCTAGGTAGGTGAGGCATCACAAATTAACTGGAATGACACAGGAGCGAGGGGATAGCCAAAACAGGAGATCCAATGCAGACACTGAAAAATAAGCCAACAGCAAAACCGTGTACAAACCTATCTGATTCTTCACAGCTCTTCCTTTCTCCACTTCCTCAGAAACTCTGGCACCGGAGAAGGTCATCACTACACCATCATCTTCACTATTCCTGTCTTCAGCCCTGTCTTCCTCACTCTCACCCTCGGAGTCTTCCTCCCCATCCCCTTCTTCCATGCCACTCTCCTCCTCCTCTTCATCTTCCTCCTCCTCACTGCTACCAAGGTCATCCATTCCCTCGGTGAATTTTTCAAAGTCACTGATGCTCTGGACACTAAAACCTGGTGTTTTCCCAGGGCGGCTTCGGCTCTTCCTCCAGGCCGGATTACTGTCCTTGTCATTATCACACTCCTCTTGCTCAGCAGCACTCATGACATCCTCATCAGATCCCTCCAGACCCAGCCCGTCTGAATCTCCATCTCTAGACTCTTCCTCATCAGATATCTCCTTGTCTAAACAAGAGACGAAAGAAGGAAAAAAGACAGATGTCACTCTGAGACAAATACTAGGGTGTATCTTTCATTTTGAGTAAAGGATTACAGTATCCATCAAAAAAATAAAATGTATTATTGTACTCAATTCAATTCAAATATTTATTGTACATCTACTATCTCTAAAATGCTAAAGGGAGAAGCAAAGATGAACAAAACATGGGTCTTACCCTCCTAACGAAAGGTTCTAGTGGGAAAAACAGACCCTTTGAAACTGTAACACAGACAAGACTTGACAAAGTTTTATAACCCAGAGACGGGAGAAATTTTAAGTGTGGGGCAAGTGGATTTAAACAAGGCTTTTAAGAAAGAGGTAGCCTTTGGTCTGGACCTTGGAGAATGGTAAGATTTTTGGGTAACTGGGAATTAACAGTTTTCCCAAACTCACATCTGAAAAAATATAATTTAACATTAACTATCCCAAATGTACAATCTCCATCACACCAGTGTACCCTATTTTTTAAATACTTATTAAGTATCTATTATGAGCCAGGTATAGATAAAAGCTAAGAAATGACAAGTAGATTGTAATACCTGTGGGGAGGGGTCCATAGCCTGGTGGGAGTGGTAGATATGCATGCCAACATTCATATCATTATTATTATTATACTGTCATTAGTACACAGTGTATGGAAAAGGATCCATCTAACTCTCCTGAAAGGGTGAGGAACTGGCTTCATGTGAAGGAGACATAATTTTCCTGATTAAACATAAGTAACAGCTTATGTGATAGGTCTTCAATACTTCTTTAAAGAATTACATATAAACTCAAGACATGGAGATGGCTGTCAAAATATAAATACAAAAACTAAGTGCAAAAATAGTAAGCAGAAATTAATCATTTAAGTTCTTTAAATGTGTGCCATTTCTCAGATTAAGGTATATTCATAGAGTAGTAGTTAGGAGTATAGATCTTGGAATCAGACTGCCTTATTTGAATCCTGGCTCTTCTGCTTACTAGCTATATGACCTTGAGCAAGTTACAAAGCCAATCTGTCCCTCAATTTCCTTACCTGTAAAATGGGGATAAATGCTACCAACTTCATAAACTATTGGGAGTGTCAAATGAAATGATACATGTAATGATAACAGTAACAACATCTTTTGAAGACTTATTGTGTTCCAGTCTCTTAGCACTTAAAGAACTTACCACAATGCCTGACATATGCTGAAAGCCCAATAAATATAACATTTGTTTCATGATTGGTCCCTTTATCACTCTCTAGGCAAAGAATGTGAAATGAACTTATCAGGAGCCCCCAGAACTATATCAAGGGCCAAATCATAGTGATGAATGATAGTTTCTTTTATAGTTATTTGTGGATTCTCAACATGGAACCTCTCTAAAGGAAAAAAAAAGATGGCATCCACTCAGTAATCACCATATCCAGCCCCTCCCTTTTTTCACTGAGAAACTTACAATGTTTTAAAACTATAAGCTCATGTCCTCACATCCTCCTAAGGCTCCTGCAGGGGAGAGGGAAGGATTATGCTATTTTTACAATGGCAAGCTCATTTTGAGCTTCACAAATTACTGTTATACAGTGACCCAATGCAAGACTTGAAAAACCAAAAGAAAAGGGTCAAAATCCATGAGTAGCATGTTCATCAGATGCAATTCTTTTCCAACACATAGCCCTCTCCAATATCCAATATGCATTGTCTTTCCTCGCATTGTCTTTCCTCTCCATTTTAGGGTGAACCATTAGGCTAAATATAAGGATTATAGAAACTTAATAGATCTGAGCTTTAGATTGCTTATGAACTGAAATTAAGTACCTCTTAAGGTCCTTCCTAATGCCAAAATCATGGTCTCTTCTGAGACAGTAAGTGGGGGCACACACACAGACTAGTCTTGCACAGATCATCCAAAAAAACAAAAAACACCCCACAAAGAAACACAACTTTAACCTTAAAAAAGTAGGAAAGTCAGGGTGCCTGGGTGGCTCAGTCGTTAAGCATCTGCCTTCTGCTCAGGTCGTGATCCCAGGGTCCTGGGATCAAGCCCCGCATTGGGCTCCCTGCTCAGCGGGAAGCCTGCTTCTCCCTCTCCCACTCCCCCTGCTTGTGTTCCCCCTCTCGCTGTCTCTCTCTCTCTCTCTGTCAAATAAA